GTGTGTGAGAGAGAGAGAGAGAGAGAGAGAGAGAGAGAGAGAGAGAGAAAGAGAGAGGGAGGTGAAGATATAAGGAGGGAATTTTAAGAGGCACTGTACATAAGTGTTGACAGAGGGGTTATCACAAACAAAAACAATATTCCTTTATATCAAAGAAGATGTTGAGATTCTGGAATCCTCAAGAAAAATTATTATAACATTGCACATTAATTACAAATGTCTTAGACTTAGCTAAGCTGCTACTAATTTTTTAATTTTTTTTAGCTCTTTGGGATCGAGAAGTAAAACTAGATTCTTAGAGTTCAGAGTTTCTCCTGATGTACTAACATGGAAAGACTATTTGAATATAGAGGGGTCCTTGATCCCATTGCACGATAAAATGGCGATATGAAGTTATCCCTTTTTTAAAGTCATGCCATTCAAGCTTGTCATACATATAAGCATTGGCTTAACTTGTTGAAAGTCTGTAGTCTAGGCATATAGAAATTTCGATTTTTAAAAAAAGAAGAAATAGGTACAACATTTTGCAATAGTGTTATGCACACATTTTATTTCGTTGGTTTTCTTTGAGCTTTTTTTTTTTCTTTTTTAGCATAACTTTAGTAATATTTTTCGCATTTTTCATTGTCATTAGTAATGATGTACAATCACATGCACCTTTTCGTAAGCATGCCATATGGCAAATGACGCGAATTTTCCTGAGTGGGATCAAATTTTATTGACTAAACAGAGAGTCTGTGGCACACTTTATGTTTGTATTCGAATATCTGTAAGGGTCTGTGTGTGTACATCCTGTATGTACATGTGTGTGTTTGTGTGTTTTGTGTGTGTGTATGTGTGTGTGTCTGTGTGTGTGTCTGTGTGTGTGTGTGTATTTGTGTGTGTGTATAGGGGTTGTGTGCGTGTGTGTTTCCTACTAGTTTGCATTAATATTTAGTGATGCAGAAGCTAGTGAAAGCACACAACCAGTGTATGCTAATAAGGGGTCTATAAAGTCAATTTATCAGATCGCATCTAATCCACAATATATCACCTTTCTCACAGACACACCTGGTCCAGCGCAGGATGAAGACTGGACTAATTTTTCGTCTCCGTCATCGGAACACCAACAACCCCTTTCGCAATCCATCCGGTCGTCTGCCCCAACCACAAGCCTCAATGACGTAGAACTAATGCTGGAAACAGACGCTTCCGCACAGCAAATTCTCACCTATCACAGGCGTGGTAACAGCATGCATCAACCAATCACAGAGCGCTCTGGAATTTCAAAACACGTCAGGTGCTTCTCACTTCCTTCTGGAAAAGAAATATTGGACAGGAAATGGCACGAACCACGAACTGTAGCCTTCCAGCTGTCAGATGATTCTGGGATAGACTACCATTTGTCTTTTGAAAGAGATGACATTTTTGACACCACTGCTCTGTCACATTACAGGAATGACGTCATAACACCCACACAAACCACTGGTTCTTTGGACACTGCCAATAAATACGTAATGGCGTATGGTCACAACTTTGAAGGACGTAACCTCTATTGATCATGAGTTGTAATACAGTGCTCCTTTCTCGTTTTCAGTGGCATTCACCCTTTAGTGTTCTTCTCAAAATTTATTTTCATCCTGACTAAATTCTATAATTTATCGCTCACCACCCCCTCCCCTCCCCCTCCCCCTCCCCCCGTCCCCCATACACCTTCTAACCTTACCAAAGAAAACCCCTGTATTTTTATCCGGGGTGAGCCATTCACCTTCCTGATAGTGTTTGTTGAAATTTATTGACACCCTAGCAACGGACGACTTGGGGTCAAAGTTAATTTTTCAATTCAGCCAACCCCTCAACCCCCAGCCCACCCCTCCAACCCCGAGGTGGAAGGATGACACCACTTTACGCTTGTCGGCACAGTGTCATATTATTATTGTGTTCACTGTATTTTTGCATGTTAGGCATATACCGCCGAAATCATTTATACATTTCGGCTCCAACGATCACCACCAACCCATTAACAGCTTGGTGCACGGAGGAAATGAAGGATCTTAAAAACTTAAGTTTGTAACACAGCTTCCTACCCGGGGAAGGAGAGAATCAAGCCTGCAGCCTCACTCTTTGCCACTAGGTTAGGATACAACTTGGAAAACCACCCACGGACCAACGAGAAACTCCCAAGCTCTAATTGGTTTTAAAAACAAACTCCCGTTTGCCGATCCATTTCAAAGCCAGTTGCTTTTTTATGGATAGCACAATCACTCTGATTGTAGACCCAGATGCAAGACTTGATATCGCATATAGATTAATAGTAGAGCGGAAAACGTTTCTTTTATAATTCTATTTGTGTCATATCGTGTCAAATGAAGTTAGATTTGCTAAACACTGTCGCAAGGTATGCTCTCTCATGAAATACAGCTCACAGACATCTGCTGTTTGTTTTTGTCACCTCCAAAGGTCACAACAACCTGTTTGTCGCATTGGCCTTTACCAGCTTTTGTTTCGATTAAGTCAGTTTATACAATTCAAATTTGTATCCTTTTCAGAAGAAAATTGAAAAAGTTGTTACGCTTACCCCATTCAGTGGTTGCCTTTACTTTCACCTTTGTCACATTGTTTGTGTTCAGTATAACACCAGTTGAAAGTCTATCCCCATCCCCATTATCCACCCGCATCTTGTGACTTCCACTTCTCAGTCATCTTTCTAATCATTCAATTTGCCTGTACTGTTTGATCGTGTCCACAGTCTCTCATTTTCTCTCCTGAACTACTTTCCATCTGTTACTTTTCTTTAACTACCCGTCTTCTCTCCGTGACGGCATGTTGTAAGACATTTTCTTCCACACTTTAATTGTCACCTATTCCATCATGATCATCATCATGATCATCATCATGATCATCATCACCATCATCATCATCAGCATCATCTTTATAATCATCATCATCATCATCATCATCATCATCATCATCATCATCATCATCATCCTCATCATCATCATCATCATCATCATCCCGTAGTCTGTCGCCTCATAGCAACCCTAATAGTCCTCGATTATTCGTCGCCTTAAGAATCTTGATGTTATTGTTTTTTTAACAATAGAATTTATTTTGTTGATCTTCTTTTGTTTTATCTCCCCATCCGCCTGTATACCTTGTGCTTCACCTCGATTCTTGTATCGTCATCTTTCATCCGTCTCAACAAGCACACTCTCCCTTAATCTTTGGTTCTCCCACATCTTCCTTCATATTTCTCATTTTCTTTTATGCTTTACTCTGTCTCTCTGTCTCTTTTTCTCCTTGTCTCTCATCTGTCTCTGTCTCTATATTCCCCCCCCCCTCTCTCTCTCTCTCTCACGCTCTCTGTCTCTCTCTTTTTTTCTCTCTCTCTCACTTTCTTTCTCTTTCTCTCTCGCACACACGCAGACACACACACTCACATTCTCCCTCTTTCTTTCTTTCTTTCTTTCTTTCTTTCTTTCTTTCTTTCTTTCTTTCTTTCTTTCTTTCTTTCCTTCTTCTTCTTCTTCTTCTTCTTCTTCTTCTTCTTCTTCTTCTTCTTCTTCTTCTTCTTCTCTCTCTCTCTCTCTCTCTCTCTCTCACTCTCTCTCTCTCTCGTTCTCTCTCTTTCACCAACTGAAAGAGTAATTAGCATCATTCGCTTATGGATTGAATGTTGCACTTATCATCACCTAATCTCACCTTCATATTTTTTTCCTTCTACTTCTATTAATTTTGTTCAAATAAAGCTTAACAATACAATACACACATTGTTTTCTTTGTGTCCCTGTGATGATACAGGCTGCGAGAGTGTGTGTTAAGGGTAGTGGTACTTGTTAGCATTGTATTGCACGGATTACATCATATTTAACCCTTCTATCCATCGTTTTCGTTTTCTGTACTACTTCTTGTTTAAGCTCTATAAAATTTGGAACCTCATTTTCTTAGTTTTCACGAATCCTTTTCCTTTGTCATGCATCTTCATTTACTTTAGAGCCTTTATTTCGGAAAAATAACACACATCTCAATATGGTATCTGTGTTGATTTTGCGTGCTGTCGTGCCTATTCCCAGACAAATAGAGCTATTAAATACACAAAAAAAACGGCAAAAAGAAGCTCATAATTCTTATGAGTAGAGTCCACTCAGGTACCATCAGTATTTTTTTTTCTTTAAAAAAAAACCAATATAATTTTCAACGCTCAGTTACAGTGACTTTGAAAGTTTCGAACTTTAAAACCGACATTAAAGCCGAGCAGATAGGAAATTTTGATGATGTAAGACATTGCTGAGACAGAGGGTGCGCGCGAGTGTGTGTGTTTGACTATGAGTGTGTGTGTGTGTGTGTGTGTGTGTGTGTGTGTGTGTGTGTGTGTGTGTGTGTGTGTGTATGCGTATCTATGTGTGTGCGTATGTTTGAATGTGTGTGTGTGTGTGTGTGTGTGTGTGTGTGTGTGTGTGTGTGTGTGTGTGTGTGTGTGTGTGTGTGTGTGTGTGTGAATGTGTCATGATGTGTATGAAACGTGTTTCTTTCTGTCTCTCTGTCGATGTCTGTCTGTCTGTCTGTTGTCTGACTGTCTGTCTGTCTCTCTACTCTCGAAAACTTGTGCGATATTCTGTAGGTTTAACGCCCATTGTAAGACCAATAAGGTCATTTAAGAGGCAAGTCCTCCCAGTTTGACGTCCATTTCCGATCTGAGGGAGCCAAACGGGAAAATTTGTACAAACTGCTTTTCCCAAAGGCATGACGTCGGACGGAACTGAGGGTCGAACCCACGAGCCGGAAACCTCACGATTATGGGTCCGGTACCCAAGACTTCCGAGGCCCATATTTCACAACAATAAAAGAAATTGAAAAAATGACACTAAAATCATTATTGCAATTTGCATAACTAAATAGTTTAGATGAATTTGTGATGTGCACACGCCCTATGAGTATTTGAAATATGAGAATATGTTGACTTTTAAAACTTGAGCTTCCGTTTCTATTAAAATTCTAGATCTATACACGGTCAAACAAAACGAAAAACTACCACAGGTATCATGCTTATTACCAACACGGTTAGTGAAATTACGACATTGTAAAGTCCGTCTCCGGAGTACACTCTGCTGCTCTAAAGAATAAACCACACAACAGATGAGACGTCGATAAATTTGAGGTAGAACAATGATATTAGTACTCGTAGATGCATTATGGAAATCACAACATTCATCTCCCGAAAGTGAACTTTGAAGGCTCAAAACTGGGTTCTATCTAATAAAGCCCATTTATGCTTCAGGAGGACATTATTATACAAAATTTCGATTGAAATCTTTCTTCTGAGTGTTCTCGGAAGTTTTAACTTGGCTTGTTTAGTGCAATTTGCCACGTTTACCTGTCGTATGCATTATCATGACCCCCTTCATCATGAGAGAAATTGTCAGTTTCAAAATGTGTTCGATGAAGTGGCCATACATGCTCCACCTCTAAAGTGTATGCTAGATTAGCCTTATGATGTACCACAAGAACATATCTTAGTAAGAAAGCTCTTCTTAAGATAGTTATTAAAAAGTAAGCTGTAAGCTCCAGCATTCACTGTGCATGAAACTACTTAACCAGTTCACTAATTATTAAGAAAAAAAGATTCAAATTTGAATCCTCTTCGTACAGTTTTGGAGCACAAGATCCCCCCTCTCTTTCAGCGCCAATAAGATAATATGTAGTCATTAATTAATTAATTGATCGCTCGTCTATCAATGTCTGGCGATGACCAATACATCCGCAAAGGAGATTTCTCCAGAAAAATAGAAGAATTAGAGGAATTAAAGGTTAAGAAGACGTGTGGCTTTTGCTGTGGCCAATGAGACATATTATGGTAGAGAAAAGTTTGCCACATTATGAACATTTAAAATCTCCACTTCCACTTGTGTATGTTGGCAGCTTGCGGGCTTCTCTCTTGGTTTGAGCATTTCTTATTCGAGAGGCCTCTTATTAAATGATTTGCTGCTAACAGCAGCCGTGCCTTTGAGATTCTGAAATTATGCATTCTTACGACATGGCCAGCCTATCGAGGCTGAATCCTTTTGAGTTTAGATGCGTATCGTTAGGGACAGGCTGTAAGAGAACGTCTGTTTTCTCTTTTTGTTCACCTTTCCAATGCCAAATAAATAGTGTTGCCAGTGGTTTGAAAGTGAGCGTTACTAGCACTACTGAAGCTTCTGGAAAAACGATGCAAAATCACCGAATCAACAAAGTACTTGACGCTCGGGGACATACAGCTTGGACTGGACAGAGTCCAGTTTCAGAGCGTTTGGTGGACAGAGTCCAGTTTCAGAGCGTTTGGTGAACTCTGGCCTAAGCCAAAAGAAATCACAAACCTGTGGAACGGAATGACCCACTTCGGAATGACCCACTTACTGAGGGATTCGATCATCACAATCTACTATAGTTTCAACATTCCTATAGGGTTGACTTGGACTATTCATTGTAATGAACTCGAAACTCGAGGCTTACAGGACAGTGGTTGTTTTGGGTATTTTTTAAAAGTAAAAACCCCAAACCGCTGCAGTCACCCCAGACAACAACAAACAGACAATCATAAACAAGCAAACAAACTGAAATACGCCCCCCTCCCCAGGCCAATACCAAAATCAAATCCACACAACAGTACAGGCTAAAAGAGAGGAACGAAATACACAAGAGCCGAAGGCAGAAAAGTAAAGCGCTAATAGAGAGTAAAATTGGAGACAACAGGAAAAAAAAGATTGAAACTGGTTTTAAAAATGATTTCAGGATGTAAAGATGGTATGAAAGAAACAAGAACGAAGGAAAGAGACGGAAAGCAAAAGAAGAAATGAAGGGTTGAGATGCAAAACCAGCTGCACCTAATTTATACATTCTGAAAGAATCAAATTTTCCTGCTGTTTCCATAAACGCGAACTGACTGCACAACGTCTATGTGTATAACAACGTGTAATAGAGGGCTAGACTACCCGCAGAACAAGCTTGATTTTTGAAAATTATACTGTTTGGAGACTTAAGTAAAACCATTATGCTGGAAGTTGGTAGTTTTTTCCCAAACAAGTGACATCCTTCACTGTTGCCTCCCATGTTCTATCTTTTACTCTCTTTACAGCCAGAGTACCCAGTATTTTACACTCATTGTACAAGCATGACACGTGGGTTATATTATCTCAGTCAGGGGTTTGAAAGTGCTTATCAAATACTTATTTTAAGTTTGTGAGAGCTTTTCTCCTTAATTTTTCCTAATTTGACACATCTAGGCGTCTCGTTTAGGCTGTTGAAGGTATTAAAACCGTTGTTTTTAGTCAGGACTTTGGCTCGTATTGACAGACGTCGATGCCTTTTTGATGAAGCGACAAGGGCGGGGATTTTAATTGGCTGCCACCGTGATTCTAGAATGTACCAAAGATCTAATTTAGGAAACGAATTTTTTTTTTAAACCCTGAAAATCGCCGGCCTCGCCATCTGAGAAACAACACGGACACGACAAAAAGTAACTACAGGTGTGAAAGAAGTAGATGAGGGCGGCATAGTTATTATTATGCTCTCATCGCAGTGTCATGCGCAAAAAAATGAGGCAACTCAATTAACACACATCATTATAATACCGACCATCAAGTACAACCCTATCATACATCTATTATATTATTTGAACAATTGGAAACACACGTGTCACTTTTCCCATAAAACTACGACAGCTACAGAGTTGAAAGTTGGCATGTACCTGCAATAAGATAGATATGTCCTTATGCTTTATTTATTCATTTCTTGAATTTAGAAATATATATTTGACAAAAAGTTCCCGTCCTTCTTTGGCCTTTGTGACTATTCCTCTGAGAAAAGAAACAAATCTGCGCAGCTGTCCTTTACAACGGAAGTGCAGGAAGTGTTATTTCGCGAGATGGACTTTTTAAAAAGGAGTATAGATCTATACCTTCTAATTTTTCGCATCTCTTAAGATTTAGTGCTCGATTTCAGTAGAGTGTAAATTTTAATATAGTAGGCCAAAGATTTCAGTTGATGTCAATTCACCGATCATTCCTTTCATCGAGAGGATGCCCAGCTAGTGTAACATAATATATAACACTCTTAACCACCGATCGATACAATATATTTAGCTGTAAGGAGGATATCCGTTTTTAAAGGTGGTTTAGGTTACACAATAAGCATAATGAGTTCTAGTTAGAACCCGCCCATGCACATGACACTTGAAGAGTGTATGTCAGGTTGGAAATCCTTTCATTTCGTGGACGGATTTGTGTGTGAACTATGCTATTCCTGTTCTTTTAGGATATTTTAAAAAAAAACTCTGTTAAATGTACTTTTGAAGATATACGACGGGTGTTCAATAAGTCTTTGGTCTGTGTATGAAGGAATCATGGCAGAGTAATGTAATTTTGCCAGCCTTTAGACAATTTCTTAGTAACACACCATGCAAATATTCGAGAAAATCCGACAATAATAAGATACTTGATCTTGTCGGCGAGTTTAATGAAACCATGTTAAAAAAGTTAGTTTTTTCTTTGCTGAAGCTTTGCCATGGAGCCTGTTGAATATCGCTCAGTTATCAGGTTTTACACTTGCAAGGAAAATCCCCTTCGGGTGTTTTTCAGGAAACGGTCCAAGTTTATGGTGACAAATGTACTCGTTATAAATACTACAACATACTGGGTAAGAAAATTCAAATCTGGATTTATGTCGGTGATGGAAGATGATCGTGAAGGGTGCATATCCTTTGTGGTAACTGAAGAGAATGTATCCATTGTGAAGAGACTGGTATTACAAGACTGACGTATAACTTTTACACGGCTCTCAAGTGAAACGGGAATCAGTGTAGGGTCAATGGAAACGATTCTCCCTGACCATTTTAACATGAATAAGGTGTCTGCAAGTAAGCAAAAGAAGCAGGGGATTGAGTCCTGCAAAACTCTCCTTCGAATTGAGTCCAATGACATAAATTTCTTTAAAAACATGGTGACTATGGATGAAACATGGATTTGATCCTTTTGATCAACAACAAAAAATGTCATCCATGCAATGGAAAACCCCTTCTTCTCCCTCACCAAAGAAGGCAAAGGTAACACAGTCAAGTGGAAAGGTCATGCTGTCGTGTTTCTGAGATTATGAAGGTATCATCATGACTGACTACCTGGAAAATGAAAAAAAAAACAGTCACAGGGGACTACTGCTCGGGTTTGCTAATAAAACTGCGGTCTGAATTGGTGAGAAAAGACGTAGAAAACTCCGTAATGGGGTCCTCCTACTGCATGACAACGCCCCCTACGCACAGGGCACAACAAACAGTCCAGACAGCAGAACAGTATGGCTTTAAAATCCTGCCACACCCAGCTTATTCACCAGACCTAGCCCCCTTCAGACTTTTTTCTGTTTCCTAATCTTAAAAAATAACTGAAAGGACGTCGTTTCCATGACAACGAGGACGCCATTGAAGCTGTGGAAGGTTAGGGGCCCATTCTGGGTCATATTTTTCCCAAGGACTTTTGAAGGTTAAAGAGAGGTGGCAGAAATGTGTTACTCTGCATGGTGACAATGTAGAGAAATGAACGTATGTGTGCCAAGTTACAAATATATATCTTTATTCCTTCATATTTAGACCAAAGACTTCTTGAACCCCCCCCCCCCCCCCCCCTCGTATTATATGTAATGTACAATTATTGTAATTGGTAGAATAGATTTATCTTTCTGCTTTTGGGAAGTTTAAAACCGGTTATTATCTAAAATAAGAATGTCGTATTCGCTGATTTTTTAAAGAAGTACTTTTCATCCTTCATGTTTTATGCATAATATACTTCGAAAGAGTTAAATGGGGTTCGATTTTCCCTTCCTCCAGCGGTGTCGTAGCCGTTTTCCTTAGACTTGGTGGGAAATTCTAAGAGGTCGACAGTTTTGGTTTTCTTTTCTGGTATAACAGACTTCAACGTTATTTCCGGCCTCTGAGTGAGATTTGTATGGACACAAGTATCTTAGCAGTGTGGAAAAAACAGGTATGCTAGTGGAATTCTAGTTTAAAAAAATATACATTTTGTTTAATATATTTAGTTACTCATGTTACTGCCATTGTCAGATATTTTAAAATGATAATTAAAAACAAACATATTAATATCAGCTCTACATAACGATCCGGATTCCAATATTCCGCAGAGCAGGGGTGTCAGATTCATTTTCTCAGTGGACAAAACTCAAATGACGGTTAAGGTTGCAAGCTGAACTTGACATATTATACTCATTGAGCGGTTGAAACGTAGCCTTTTGAAAACCATGATATATTTTGAAAGAGACAAAAGCTATATAAATGAATTAAAATCAAGTTATTCCATTATTCCGAGTTTAGGTCAATTTGTCAGATCTTGGTGTTTGGTATCTTTTCTTGGCAACAAGTTTGTTTATGTTTGAAGAAAAGTTTGTGTAATGGAGATTCTCTGGATGGACAGTCTAAGATTCTCTTGCAGACTGGATGCGGCCTGTGGGGTTTGAGTTTGGCACCTGTGCTTTAGAGGTTCAATCAGTCGGTAATAGCTCGTTCGTCGACGATGACCTATACATCCGCAAAGGAAAATATTTCTCCAGCGAGATAGGAGAATTAATTAGAAGAAAAACAGGTAAAGATGACTTGTGGCTTCTGCTGTGGCCGATGAGATCATCCAGTGCCAGATCTGCGGCAGACATCGGCAATCATGGTTTTCCATTCATTCTTTTGCTTGGATGCTCTTAAAAAGGTTACGTTTCCCTGATCTTTCCCCGTTATCCATTTGATTAGGTTCCCTAAGTAAGTTGCTCTGGGTCTACCCCTGCTTCACTTGCCTTCAATTTTGCCAGTTGAAGCTAGTTGTTCAAGACCTTTATGTCTTTTCAGTGGTCCCAAAAACTGCATTTGTCGTCTCCTGATTCTTTTAAACAGTGAGCGTCCCCCGTGGGCTTCATCAAGTACTACTTCATTTGATTTATTTTCCTTCCACGATATTCTCAGCAGTCTCCTAAGAAACCACATTTCTGATGTTTCTATTTTGTTTTAACTGTCTTTAGTGAATATCCAGCATTTACAGCCATATAGAAGGGTTGGCCATACATAGCATTTCAGAACTTTAATTTTGGTAATCATTGAGATGTTTCTATTTTTCAGGATGGGTTCATTTTATTGAAACTAGCCTTTGCCATTGCAATTCTCTGTATTATTTCTGTGGAACATTTGGCATCAGATGATGTTATATATCCTATATATTTAAACTGTTGGACTTGCCGATGAGCTACTGGTAGAAACAGGTTTGCCACATTTTGAACATTGAAAAGCCCCACTTCTACTTGTGAATGTAAGCGGCTTCTATCTTGGTTTCATCATTTCTTATTCGTGAAGCCTAATATGATTTGCTGCGCACTGTGACAGCTGCTCTCCAGCTCGATCTGTCACGACCTGGGCTCTCCCTTTCCTAGGTATTATGTTGAATTCCTTCAGAGGCATTTTCAGGGTGTCCTAGGGGCGATTTTAGGAGCGTTTTTTTCTCCCAGAGTTTTAATTGTACTTGAGATATATATTCACGATTGGGTCAATATGTGTAACACTACAGACGCGACCTAATTTGTTCAGTCTATCCCATTGTGACGTAGATATGGGGATATACTTGCAACTTGCTTCTCTAAAAAGGCTAACTTTGCAGGGTATTCACAGTTGGCGAATACTTACAGCAGCCCTTTTCGGGAAATGAGGACGTGGAAGACTGGTAACAAAAAAGGGCTATTTAAACATTTTAGATGGGCATCTCATACTAACTTGTTTTTTTTCCACAATTTGTTTTTCTCAATATAATGTTAATAGAAGCTGTTACCAAGCTTTTTTTAATAAAGGCATTTCAGTACTGAAATAATATTTAATGCAGGTATTTTTAGTTCTCCACCGATACAATTTAGAACATTAAGGAGGCGGGCTTCAGCCCTGCATGTCCAGGCCAAACCCGACTGAACAGTAAGCAACTTCCCAGCAGAAAGATGAAGCTACTAGACTTGATTAAATTTTTCCTTTCATGACAATCGCTTTGAGAGGGATAGGAAGTAGAGTGTGAGTGAAAGCAGAAGGGGAAGCAGTCTTCTTCATTACTCCGGATTTTTCTTTCTCTCTGCAGCAAACTACTTAAAAGAGCCATGAAAATAAAAGGCACCGAACGGCAAAAGCTCAAAACGCCGGCAGATGAAGAAGATGAGGAAATTGAAGAGCCTACCGATTGGGAGGAAAAGAGTCCACCTCCAGTGGGAATTTTTCAGTTGGTACGAAATCTATCTATCTATCTATCTATCTATCTATCTATCTATCTATCTATCTATCTATCACACAACCACATGCATTTCAATATGTATAGCAATGCTTATGACTGTGTGTAGAGTGTGTTTGAGCGTGTATGTGTGTGTGTGTTTAGGGGGGGGGTATTTGTGTGCGTATTTATGCTTGTGCGTTGGTGTGTTTGTATGTATGTTGTGTGCAAGCGCATGTGCATGTAGGTGAGGGAAAG